GCAGTTCCCGTCGCCCTTCACCACCGAAACGGCATAGGTGGTAGTTGCAAGCGGTTCCCGAGGTCGCCTGGTAGTTTTATAATGTTTTATAGCGTTTGGAATCAGTTTTTACTGGTATTTATATACAGTGTTTTTATGGCTTACCCACAGGGTGCCTGGGGAGAGCGACGCACTCAATATTTGATGGTACAGGGGTTGCGTTTTTGCGAGATGAGTAAGCAGCACCAAGGGGGGGAGGGAGGGGGCGAAGTTCGAAAGATTGATGCGTTTCATGTTTCAGTGTCGCGCAGGCTTTGGCTTAATGGATTCGGAAGCAGTTTTAGGTCTGTGTAGTGTGGTGTTGTTGCGGTTGGCGTTCGAATGTGATCGAAGTTTAGCTCGTTTTGCCTTTCCAACTCCTTCACAGCCGTTCTTTTTGGTGGATCCGTTTGTATTAGATTCTTTGATCGAATTGGCAACCCGGGAATTGGACGATGTGAGTGCTTCTTTGGATGAAGATCGGTGGGTGAAACCAAGCCAGTTCTTGAAACGGATCGCTCAACTCACGAAGTGAAAAAAATGGTGCGAATGGAGCAAGCGCTGGGTGGGAGTGACCAAGCGGTTCCCCAGGCGCCTTGCTTACACCAGGCGACCTAGGGAACCGCAATCTGGTAGTTCCTCTAATAAAAACGACTGGATATATACACCGCTTGGGGGTTAGATTGGTGGTCATCTGTGTTTTTTTTTGGCGTCGTAACTTGGAACATCTACGACCCACCACGGTGCCAGCAATACACTCCTTGGAATCCTCATGGAAGTGGAAAACCACCTGTTTGTAGGGGAAAAACCATGTTCATCCATTTTCCACTTCCACAACTTGAGGGAGTGTAGACTCAGTGTAGACCAAATACATCCAAGCCTACTTACCATTGCTACCTTGCGTCCTCCTGGCGGTGGCGACCTGGGTGCGACCTCCGTCCTCGTAGGGCTCGGGTCTCCCGGACCGATCGCCGATCGCCCCGCGCCTCAGCTTCTCCAGGTCGATCTTCATCTGCTCCTGGAGGAACTGCGGGGGGCCGTTGTCACTCGGAACTCGGGGTGTGGGCTATGCGCATGCGGAACTCATGTGCGGAACTGTGAGACTATGCGTGCACCGCGTGTTTCTTTTTTCATGACATGGAGAAGCGTTATGTGCCGGAGCTTGCAAGAGGAAGAGATGGCGTGGGGGTCGACTCATTCCATGTCTCAAGTCTCTTTTCGTGGCGCTCAGACGGAGTTCCCTGAAAATGGAAAGTGTCTTGGTTGTCTGACATTCTGATGTCACTTAATGTTATCTCAAATCTTCTAAAAACACTCCAACCTTGTTCCCCACACCCAGGCAAAGCCGAAGCACGACCTCACACAAAACTCTTTTTACCAGGGTGACACCAAGCGCTGCACGGGTCCAAAGGCGGTGCGCCGGTTTGTACAGGACTTTCGTGGCTGCACCTTCGACCTCCAAATTCGTTGTCTTGAATTCCAGGCATGTGAAGTGGTCACGAAGTGGTCCAAGCCATTGCTGGATATTACGACCTCCAGGCCATTCCTGCTCTGCTTGGATTTGCTTCTGGACCTTTCAGACCGCGTGGACCTTCGTTGTGTCTCACTACCTCTTCTCGTCTTCCGAACATGGCCTCCGGTGGCCTCCTAGAACTTCCTTCTCTGCTTCCATTCTGGTTCTCTCCCCCCCCATGCCTGTTGAATTTCAGCCTCAGAAGGCTGAGCATGCTTCTTTGCAGGCCTACCTACCGCCTGATGGCTCACTAACGCCTCGCCCGCCACCGCTTTTGTGGTGAAGACATGGGGTGTGGCCACAAACTTGGGTGCGAATGCATTCTACATACGCCACGGGTGTTCTTCATGCCACTCAGTGGCCCACTGGGGATAACGGGTTTCTGGCCAAACCTCCAAATCACGCGCTCTACAGAGCCAGTTGCCGTTTTTTGCAACTGCGCCACTGGTCAATGTGTCCAAAGATAACGAGCCCTCCAAACAAACTGCTGGGATCCCACATCATACCTATCGCCTTGAACAAAAGCTACGTGGTTTAAGCATCCTCCATCTTGGATGCATTTCACATTCTCAAGTGATGTTGCCGCCATTTGGGGCCACTACCTTGGGAAACCAGGAGAGCTCTGCATCATTCCAGTCTCACTTTGTTCTCCTGTGGCCAGCGGACTAAGAAACTGTCACGTCACAAACATCGCTTCCTTCCCATCAAAATCAAATAAATCTCACCTCCCATGTCTCACCTCTCATGGAAATGTTGCCTACCCAATGGCACTATGGCACTAGCAGTGACTTGGGACATCCCCAAATCAACTGGCAGATGTCCATGTTGCAAACGTCCCGTTTCCTGCAACGGTCACAAGCAAGACATGCATCTCTGTGCCCTTTGCAAGCTCCTTGGCCCACTTTTTCATGACCTTGTTGATGATGTACTCCACCTATCCACTATGCTCAAATTGAGAAGAACCAACTGAGGCTTCGATTTCAAAGTCACCGATACCCAACACGCTCGTGACGTGTTGCGGGTGAAGCCCACGTAAACGAGTCGTATCTGTTCTTGACTGTTGGGTGGATTTCAACTCCAGACTGTTTCATTGAAATGTTGAAGATCTGTTCAGCAATAAGATCTTACATACTGCCATACTGCTGTTTCCAGACTGTTGACACAAAACCCTCCAGACCCCACCATTTCTAGATTCATCGAGATCTAGATTCTAGTTTTCGTAGTCGCGCACACGAAGAACCCAGAACAGTCACCACAAAGCCCACGTGAAAGACAGGAAGCACCCCGTGAAGAACAGGCTAACCTCGCGTATCTTCCAAATCCACTGAGGCACAGTGGTTTCCACAAGAATCACTGGGCCAACCATTCTCTACTTCGGAGGCTTCAACACACGAAGCTTCGCTGTGATGGCTCCGGCCGCCCATCGGACGCTCATCTCGCTCCCGCGCTGCGGAAGCGGAAGCGCGCGCGCGCGGTTCCGCTCGGCCGCGCCTGGGAGTTACTGGAGCTCCTCAGGAGGTTCACCACGTCCTGCAACTTGTCTGGCGACTCCTCGCGCTGGCGGATCTGGACCCGGACCGGGAGGTGGACTAGGGGTGTGAAGCCGAACGAAGCCACGGTGCGGCGAGCCGGGGTGCGGCTTTTGGTCTGGTTTCACAGGTTTCAAGACCACTCAAACAATCTGAGTTTTGGTAAGTTAGCGAACAACTTCATTTCGTACATTGGCTTCGGTGGCCATCCAGGCCGACAACAGTCGAATTGGCTTACACCAAAATCAATCTGGATGGTTTTTCAGTTCCAGTTGAGTCGTGTTGCGTGTGCTGTTCACTTGGGACGGAGATGTTCCTGAAAGCCCAAACGGACAGTCCGTGGGTCGACGAAACGACGGATCCGTGGGTCCCCCCTGCACCGGAAAGCAAGAACATATAAACAGTAAAAGGCAGAAGACCCATGAAGACCCATGAAAAGCAGAAAAAGAACGTTAACAAAAAACATATATATATATATGTTGTTTTTTTGAGTGAGTCATGTTCCATAGCCTTTCTGATAAGCGGGAAAACCTAAAGATCACCCGCTTGAAGGAGCTTTTTCAGTCAGATCCCCACGCGACATGCACGCACAAACCCGCGCCTTGCGGGCGACCACTCGCTGGAACACCCCCACGGCAGCTCCCCGCTTGCCTGCGACAAAGGTGTTGAACCGTAGGGCTCCCAGTATCCTTCTCAGAAGGTGGGACTGGGGTGGGTCCAAATACCTTCTGAGGAGGTACAACTGGAGCCCTAGGGGAAGCCAGAAGAGCCAGGGCCATGCACCCTTTTGAACAATCACAGGAGTTTGGAGTGTTCTCCCAGCAAGAGCAGAAGAAAACACATTCACATGTTACAACCCCGCAATCCCAACTGAACGGCCCGTTGTTCTGGTTGAGTGACGAAATCCAAATTATTGTCTGACTACGCTTCGCTGGCAGTTCCAAGTCTTGAGGAATGCAAGAATGGCAGGAGAGCAAATGATGACCCCCTAAGTTGCATAAAAATAGAATCTATACAGCAACCACAACTGGACCCCCACAAAAGGCTTGTATCTGCAAACATCTGTGGTCCCCCATGCATCCGCATTCCTAAAGCCAAGACCGGCCCGACAGGGTTAGACCCAGTGCACAACCCACAAAAACACGCAGTATCCGCAAAGGCTGAGTTCTTGCAAAAAAGGTGCGCTTTTTCGGCCTAAGTTCTACGAGCCGAAGCAAGGAAGACATCATGCGCTGCTCGGTGGATCAGCGCTGCTTCGACCTCTCCACGCCCGTTCGTTGGAAAGCCCGGAACGCGCACATGCACCATCTGTGGATGCGGGATCTCGCCTTCCCAGAATTCGGGATCAGGATCTAATCTCTCAAGCACATCAAAGGCCTCCGCACGTCTCAGAGGCGCCGAGTGGGAGAGAGAGAGAGAGACAGAGAGAGAGAGAGAGTGAGTGAGTGAGTGAGTGAGTGAGTGAGTGAGAGAGTGTCAAGATATCAGCAAACAGGTCACTACGGTTTCCTGAATTTGACGGGTCACACGGTCACACCCATGATACACTCTACTTCCTGCGGGGTCATCCCAAAATGGATGGCTTGCAGCACTTATTCGTTTGATCTTGTTTGGCCGTAGCCTTCAAGAGTGCCCAAAAGAGATTGGAAAACCCTCATGGCTCACGGCACGCTTCGTTCACCCCCTCCCCTGACCACACGAGTTCGCCGCGGATTCGGTCGGGCTTCGTGACCAGAAAGACAACGAACCCATCAATCACATGGAAGTGATTTGCTGTGTTTTCACAGGCCTTCCAATCCAAGACATTGACACATCGACCTGTTGGATGGATGGTGGAAGCCCCTATATAAGCAGCCGTGTTTTACGCACTTCCATCAGCTGGAGAAGGCAGCGGAGGAACACATCGGGAAAAAAAAGCGGACCGAGATCCGAGGATTCCATCACCGGATCCCATCCGCCTTGCATGCATAATAGAAGTGGCCCATCTTGTAGCAGTCATTGGCGATCAAGTGTAGCAGATTGAAGGACTCGTTACTGGTGTCCATTCGAACATAAGCCTGCCGCGGCGCCGCGGGTGATTCCACGCTTGGATGTTGCTGGTTCGCTTCAGTCCGACCGTGTGAAGGCTTCATTGCGCGCAACACAAACAGGTGAGGAATCCACAAAAGAATAAGGCCAGTACCAACCAACCTTCTACCTTCACCTTTCCATCCTGATTCAAGGTCTTCGTTCACCCCCCGCCCCTTGGTCCATCCCTGTCACCTCCCAGGCTTGGCCAGGCTCGTTGCTCATGATGTAACAGCGCGCCAGCCAGCTGAGGTAGCAGAACCTGACGACTGGGAACGCAGCTGAGGTGAGGTAGCAAAACAGTGGAACTCCGAAGGATACAACACTTCGGCATGGGGTGAAGGGAGTGATCTAGGGAACTTGGTGGGTGGAATGCAGCTGAAAGAGCTTCAGCTACAATTCCAGTTTCGATTCCAGCTGCGCAGAGGGCTGGCAGGGTGGCAGGGTGGCGGGTCCATGATACCTGGTCCAATCTCACGAGATCCCCAGTCCCACCCAGCGCGACGTCGAATCCGGAACAACCAAGCGACTCGGATCTGCTCTTCTCGTTCTGAATGGACAGAAGTGCCTCCGGAGACCGGGAGACGACCTGGACCTGAGGTCTAGTAAAGCAACCTGGTGGAAGAATGGCAGTCAGACGACCCCATGTCCGTGGTATATCGGTGGATGTAACCCGAAGACTTTGATTTCTCATAAGGTGCTGAAAGAGTCATGCAAGTAACGACCTCCAACCTCTAGTCGGCATGGTTTATGGTTAAGACTAGGACGGTATCTGATCGTCTTCGATCCCCTAACTTTCGTTCTTGATCAATGAAAACATCCTTGGCAAATGCTTTCGCAGTAGTCCGTCTTTAACAAATCCAAGAATTTCACCATCTGACAGTTAAATACGAATGCCCCCAACTATCCCTATCAACCATTACCTCAGCTCTAGAAACCAACAAAATAGAACTGAGGTCCTATCTTATTATGCCATGCTGTATTCAAAGCGTGCGCTTGCTTGAAACACTCTAGCCACCTAGTCCATGCGCTTCATCTTCGGTTGGGTTTCTGGACCCGAGCTGTGCGATCCTGTTCAATCCAGGAAGGAACCCAAGGTGGGGGTTCCAAAGACCATCCTGATAAATGACCATAGTGTTTGGAGCTTTTTGATGTGATCGACTCCGTAGAGGCACCCAGTAGGATGAAGGCACTCAGTTGATAACCCTTTACTACTGAACCAACTCTGCCTGGCCTAACCAGAACCACTCTTGGGTTGAACTCGTTGAGATCTTTTTTTGTTTGAACCACTCTTGAACTGTAACTCTTGACATGGCCTTGAACCACTCTTGGGTTTTGGCCGTCAACTCTGCCTGGCCTCTTTGGCCTCTTTATAATCACCGGCAGCTGCACAGGCAATGCCTAAAACCGCGAGTTTTCCGCGAGGTCAAGAAGGGCTCTGGGGATCCTACGTCCTTTTCAATCAGGAGGTTGATGTTCCAGTAGTGTGCAGATTCTTGGTTTATACAGTATGTCAACCCCTCATATGAAGAGGCCTTACAATATTGTCTGGCATTTATTCATCCAGAGCCATCAAGATATTTCCCTGAGACTCTTCTCTTGATGAAGAAATCGACCCTTCAGCCGCTTCAGCCCTGTCCAAACCGACTCTTCCGCCTCGGACCTGTCCTCTCAGCGAACTCGGATCTGTCATACATGGCGTCATCCCGTGACGCGGGCGATCTCGCCAAGCAGCCATAATTCCAATTGAAGTCGTCATCGTTGGCAAAGTACTGCCTGCGCATTGGCGGCGGTTCAGCGTTGCTTCGCATTGCTTCGTTGGGTGGCCCGAAGAAAGAGGAGATCTATACCATACAGATACACCAGACCTCCCTCGATCGGTTTGTGTTTCGCCAAATTGGCGGTTCAGAGTGCTGGTCCGCATCGTTTCACATTCGTTTCAGTCCTGGTTAGTCCAACTGGGCCATGGCCAAGGTGTATAGTGTATGGATAAATCAGGATCAATCACAGATTGATGCAACCATGCTGCGAAGCAACCACTCCTTGAAATTGTGAAGTGGATGGTATGGCCAAAAAAAAAGGATGACCATCGTCCGAAGACAAACGGGTCGTGTTCCACTTCAATAATTCTTAGATTCTGTCAGCGAGTGTAGTCAGTGTAGTCCTTCCTGACACACAGCTTGCTTGTCCAACAAACCAAGCCTTTTGCGGGCCTCAATAACTCAACCAAGCCTGGTCTTTTGCCATTTCGGGAGGACCAGAAGAGCGGCGGAAAAGAGGAAAAAATGCAGTCCCCAAATGAGGGACAACCAGCCCAACAGGAATGCAGGCCTGAAGCCAAGCACTAACCCCCCCTCCGCCACCAATCCACTGGCTCTGGGCACACCGGCTTGATGGACTTCAAGTAAACCAGGACATCTTCAAACTGACGTAGCAGAAAGAAGCAGGAGGCCATACACCTGGGATCCAGCGATGGAAAGTGGAGAAGACCATTCCCACCCGTCCACCAGTCCGTCCACTTGTCACGGAAGGTCGGATCCGCAGAGCTGGTGCTGTCCAGGTCCGGTGCTTTACCCACCAGTGGAAGGAACTAGGAGCCAGGTGCAGAAACCGAGTCCGGCTTTTTCTGTGGATGTCGATCATCCAAATCCAAACTCGCTGTGAAAAGACTTGGCTTTCCGGATGGCAACTGGATGGTTCGGGGTAACCATTGGTTGTCCGCAATCTTCCAGTTCACGGTCCGAAACGTGCGGGCCGGCAGGACGTGGGCCGGACGTGGCCGCACCAGTGGGCCGAAGAAAAGCGGAGATAGTCCGATTCGGAGATGTTCAGGGACTGCTCAACCAAAAGCAACCCGAATCCAAGCCCAATCCAAGCTAACCAGTCCGAGCCCATCTGTGACCCGGACTGCCGACCAGGGATGGTGTCACACTCTGAGGCTGAAGCCTCAGCTTGGTGAAACTTAGGGTGATCTGCATGGCAGGTCCTCGAAAAGAGTCTTCCATCAATGCAAACAAAAATCATCCAAATCACCCGAGGCATCGGTCAGAACCTTCAAGAAGTGTTGGAAACCTCCAAGAAGTTCATGGGCAATGAATCAGGTCTTTAGCCACAGCAGTCTTCACTCTCTCCACCTGTGTTTCTTTCTCCTTGCAGAGATGAGATCCGACGCCTTGAGCTGTCTCAACCGGGTCCAGTTCCCACCGGTTCACCCGGACCCTCCAGTTCATCTACCGACGTCACCCGGATTTCGGGCGATCTCGGGCCCGTCCCGTGCCGTCCCACTGGGTCCGGTCCCCGGTCCGGAACATGGGAGGCTGAACTGAAGAACGGCCCCCCGGTCTCTTCTCGGTCATGGCGACCGATCCCGGTGTTCTCTCCCCATCAACGGCAACGCGTGAAGCGAGAGACCTTCTCTGCGGTGTGTGTTCACAGGGCTTCAGGTGTTGACACCCCATCACTGGAAAGAACCAACCCAACAGAACTGGGCACTGCAAGTTGGGTGTCATTGGGAGTCGAAAGATGGTCCACCAGGTCGACCTGTTGGAGTTTGTTGCCTCGACATGTTGGGTCTGATGAGTCGGAACATGTCGAGTCGAGTCGCAGGGGGGCTCAGGGCTCATCGCAGGTCTGATGAGTCGTATCAGCACGTCGTGCAGTCGAGTGAGACCGTCAACCGGGCTTCACACAGGATTCCGTATCTGTGAGAGATGAAAGATTCTATAGAGATGAAACTCTGTTCACCCGAATGTGTTGCCTAAAACGCACCAGCCACCGGGCCTTGGAACACTGTCTCACTGCTTGGCTGAGTTCGGGTGGTGAAACCGTGTTATTTTCGGAACCCACAGGGGCAAAGATTCTGAAGGGGACGCTCATTGGTGTCACAAGTCAGCAACGAAGACTTCTGTGCTCCAGCATGTATTGAGGCCAAGCACTCCAACAAGCTGAAAGAGCTGTTGAGCCATCTTCAAGTGGTCTCTGGAGCCTCGCCGAGCTCGCTCCACGGGACGGCATGTTCTCGGACCGGACGATTGGTTGAAAGGACTTGGGTCACAGATGGTCACAAGGGCCCTGTGTTGCCCCAACTCCGTGTCTTCGTTATATCTATATCACTACATTCTTGCTCCTCTTGGTGGTCAGGTGGTGACTTTGCTACTTTACTAGACGAGCAAAAACCAAAAGTGCAGCCCACAGGTTTTGCATGCAGACTTGCCAGTAGACGGGTCCACTTGTTGCCCAGTCAATCAATCTCACTTCTTGGTCTCAAGAGGAGGATATTAGTTGTACGTCAATAGATCAGGAGGATTCTGTCTTGCTGAAGTAAGAAATCTGGAAAACCACAGATGGGGAAGGGCTCCCTCTATCTACAAAAGATGTTCCCTGAAACCCTCTGGGCACGACTCTCTGCAAAAAGCTGAGAAGTCCTCAATCGTTCGTCTTGAAACACCTGGGATGTCGTCCAAACCCCGGCATCAAACACCGTGCATGATGTCAATGATGCTCCGCCTGTCTTCTGCCCCAAAGCCGCAAAGACCACACCCTTCAGGATGTACCTGGATCATCAGGCATGTCTCGGTCAAGCATGCCTTCCTCATGCGAACAGAACAGAGCCTAACTTCCTTCCACCCAACCCCACCAATTACAGTATATAATTGTCGGGTGCCACGTGAGCTCAGAGGAAGTAGAAACATGCAAGAACTCCTTGTCGACTCCACTCAAGCTAAAGAATCTGCTTCCTTCACGAAATCATCGCAACAAACTGAGACTAACTGCCGGCAGTTGGTACCAAGCAGCAGAGCCGTCCCCTTGCTTTCCGTATTTCTCATTCACACCTCTTGACCGTCACGGGCCGTCTCCTTGTGACTCAACTGGGCTTGGCTCACTCTCGCGGAACCGAAGGCTCCAGGTCTTTGATCAAGGCAAAGGCCTTGGAAAAACCGAGGGCCACTGACTCACGGCAAGGATCATATGGCGAGTCCCTTGTCCGCGAAGGAAGGTGCCGTGTCGTTTGTGTCGTTTGTGTCGTTCGTGTGTTGCCACGACCGTGTCCTTCGTGTGGTAGGCGTTGGGTGTGTGCTGTCGCATGCTGTCGGGGGCCATGAAGCCAGGTGGGTCAGCACAAATGATGGAGGAATCTTAGAACAAGGAGGTCGCCATAGTGTCCTGCTTCAACAAGTGCAACCGCTGTCCGACATGTCATCATTCATAGACTCCTCCTACATCTTCCTGTCATGAGTCTTGTTCACATGAGTTATCACCCTGTCTTGGTCCACTGGCTCCAAGAGACCCCTCCAAAGAGGCAAGCCTTGACGTCGACTAGTGGTGCGGGGGACCCAAACGACTCCCGAACACCGCCTCGGCGGCTTCATCCTTGCGCAAATGATAGATCACCAAGTTCAGCCTGGCCTCCGCAGCAACGGCCGCATCGGCGTCCCCGCTCCCCGGCGTCGTTTCCCCCGGTTCGGCCCGAACGCCGCGAGGAGTCGAGCGAGGTCGAGCGAGATCGAGATCTGGCGGGAGCCGGGGAGGTCCGAAGGAGTGCTGGGACCGGATCTGGGGAAACTGGGTTTCCTGCCTTTGAGACACACGGTCCAAGCACCCCAGCTCTCTATGCCGCGGTCCAGGCGTGGCATACACCCGCGCGATCCATTCGACACAGTCGGATCTTGGGATCTCTGAACTTGGCATCAACAAATCTAAATCTGGCTGAAACAAGTCTGAAACAGTAGGACTGGCTGGGACTTGCTGAAACAGTCTTTCTACAGTACTTCATTTCGGCCGTTCTCAAGAAACAAGTAGACTGACAAGCTTCGTGGCGCTGCTACAAACGCCAAACGCACATTCCGGACGCAGCCGGACCCCTTCTTTGCATTACCCGGTGTGACCATCCCGCCTCTGGGATAATGTCCAGCAGCGGCGGTAGAACCTGGTGAGCGGCTTGTTCGGTGCCCCGCAAGAAAAGTGATGACCCCAGTCTGCCCAGTGTGTGTGTCGTGTTGTCAGGGATCTCTGCGGCAAACCTCCTAAGAACAGGCTCGTGGTCTCGTCATCCTGCGGCTGAAGCATATCTGGCCTGAATCGCATTCTCGCCGTTCCGGAACACCACCAGATTGTGCTGCAGTAGGTCATGCTCCTGCACCAGCGAGCTGCGCACCGCCGGATTCACCAAACACCCGGCTTGTTTCGAGACGAGATCAGCTGATCGAGTCATAGAATGGCTGTGGGAAAATCCAAACCTGGTACCCGGTTGACCACCCAGGTGGGTCAACCAAGATATCCTAGCTTCTACTCACAGCCATATTGGGGTATACCCCTTCTGGGTCGCTGCATTCAAATTGAGGCAACAGTGGAGACATCACCGTGAACGTTGCCAAGGGTGCATGGCTTTCGCTGGACCCCAGAACGGTCCTGGAAAATGTTCCCGCTGGAGGAGGCATTCTGCAAGACCTCAGCTCCATGAGCGAAGCGCGTCGTGAACGTAGCTGATAGCCCGCCCTCGCAGCGTGTGCAGCGGTATATCATCCTGAATCTGTGGACTATAGTGTATCCAGATCAACCAAATGAACCCACGAGATTCATCGAAAAATTGTGAAAAAAGGGACTCCTGGCGGGCGGCGTTCCAAACGAGCGCCGTGCCTTCAATTCAGCCTCAGCTGCTTTCCCGTTGTAGAGCTGGTAGTGACTGCAGGCCTGCAGGCCGTCCCTTCAGTCTCGGGATCGGATCCTCGGGTTGCTTTGTGAGAAGAATCAGAAGGATTGAAGTACCAAAGCAGCTTCCAAAGAACCCATGTCTCGAAGAGCTAGATCATATCATGCTATATCAAGACTTGCGGACTTGTCATCTCTATAACTAGAAGCCAATCGCGAACCGCGACGAATAAACACGAGCTGTTCTTCTTCATACGTTGGTCAATCTACTCACGCCGCGGTCGCCTTCAGGTTCACTGCGGTGATGGATTGAGGATATTGGCTCAAGTACCTGAAAAAGTCTGAAAGACAGTGCAGGGTTGCCGCCCTTTTGGGGCAACACAGGCTCCTTCTGCTTTCTCTTTAAGAGCACGGCATGTGGAATCAAACAGCAGTCATGGCCACAGTGGTCATGGCCATGGTCTCTACGAAAGGAAACCTATAGAGTTGTCTCGATCTGCCCAGACCACAGAAATCGTGGTGGAAAAAGGTGATGTCAAAACAATCCCTAACATTCAACCCAGCATGGGTCCATCATTGGACAACGAAAAAGACCTCTGGCGGCCGTCATTGGCGCCCCTGTTTTGGACGTTTGCGTCGAGCGATTCATGCCTTTCGAACCGCGACGACATCGCCATGACACAACCACCCACATCTGGGCACGTCTGGAGAATCTCGAGGGCCACGTCATAGTAGTCCAGCTTGTAATAGCACAAAGCAATGTAAACCTGGCATGCGTGCATCAATGAGAATTTAATTTGGCGGGTGTGAATCCTAGGGAGATATTCTTTTAAGAATTCTTCCTGAACCTTCCTTCGCTACCAAAAAAAAGCGCTCGTTTTGCAAAAGTGCTCGTTCAAGCAAAAAGCGCTACAAACACTCAAAAATCGCACGTGGGCCCCTCTCATATCCAACCCATGTTGGGGTGGTTCGCCACTTTTTAATTTGCGCTCGGTTTGTGGCAATTTGCGCGCGGTTTTGCGGCATTTTGCGCGCATTTTGCAAGTTTCCACCTTTGGCCCAAGAAGACTTCAGTGTTCAACATTTTGAAAAAATGCTCGTTTCATTAAAACTCATTCAAAAGTGCTCGTTTCATCAAAAAACGCTACGAAACTCAAAAAAGTGCTCATTTCCTTGGTTCGCCAGAAAAAAGTGCTATGATTGAAGGTTCAGGTTAAGTCATACAACTCCAAGCAGGTCTGCTTGATTGTACATGCTTGTATCGCTAAATATCTCCTGGCCTGAATTCCTGAAAGATGGCTTCTGGGAGGTCGTAATTGACATCCGAGGTTGCAACTTGCAGGAGAAATCTTTTGCAAGAGGTGCATGCATGGAGGTGCACCCGGACCCCAAAGATGCATGCTTGGCGGCATGGGTGGACCCCTCAGTCCCACCTTTTTTGTCGGGATCTGGGACCACGTTCTGAGGACTCACTTGGCACCTTCTCTCAGACTACTTGAAAGGACCCAGGGCAAAACCACGAGGAGATCCAGGGCCAACGAGAGTCGAACAGCGCACAACCTGGCCGGCTTGACATTTAAAGCCCAGTCCTCCCTCTCCTGAGGAATGCCATGACAAAATGGCCATACAAGGCCCAGGTCTTCGGCGACGGATTCCGGGAAAGCCTGATTTGGTGCTCTTCGATGGAAGAGAATCATGATAGAACATGGACAAGTACCGCAATTAGCACCTTCTACCATCTTCTACCATCCTTTTTGCTCCCTACTTCCGGGAAGCAAGAGGAGCCCTGTGGGCCTCGTTTCAGGGCCACCGGCTGTTCACCACCCTGTTCACACCTCACTTCTGGCCCCCGTCGTCCGACCCGATGCTCCTCCACCAACAGTCGCTTGTAGATGTCGGTGGCCTCCTGGAAATGACTCCTGTGCCGCGAGTCCCGCAGGAGTTATTTTGCCGGGAGGCTGAGCCCTTCGCGTTGAGCTTCTCTCCCATCTCCCAACTCCCAACCACCAGAGATTCCCCCAGAAGTGCAGCGAGCCGGCGACCGCCGTCAGGGCGACTCGCTGGGTGGTGCGGAGGTCCTTAAGTATTGGATCGCTGCCAAGCAAAGCTGATCCTCCTTCGAGTCGGTCAACGCCTTCGAGTCGCGTTGAACGCGACGCGTTGAACGCGACGGTGGTTTCAGAGGGGTCGGCGCGTGGTACAAACGCGCGGAGAGGCGGAGATGGCATGGGCTATAGACCTCGGGGCCCTTCGGCAGGTCGAGGTGCCAAATGTAGATCTGGTTGGCTGAGCCATCCTATAAGTCTAAACCTAAACCAGGTCTTGAAAACTTGAAAACCATACATGATCGACGAGCTGCCTTTCCAAACCATCTCACTCTCCTAATTTTTGTTGGAGGATACCCTTCCCCAAAACCAGTTCCAATGATTCCAATGCTTGGCCTAAATCCACTGACACGAGCTTTAGCCATTTTCGGAGGCCCTGTGTGCGGGGCCCATTTTCGGAGAATCTGTGAAGGTGGGTGCCTGGTGGTGGCTCATCATGGCAGGCTCGTCATTCCTCTTGTGCGCCGTATGGAAGAGGATTCGCGTCCTGGGAGGACGGAACTGGACGGAGGCAACTGCGGCGGAAGCTAGGCGGGCAAGCAGCTGCTGTTTATCTAAAAAAGGAAAAAGGCTGAAACCTCCACAGAATCTCAGAAGCATGTGGCAGGAGGATCAGGAATCCAACAAGCATACAGTTAAAACAAAACTGCAAAGAGAGAACCACCCAGGGCTTCATGGATGCCAGATTCAGGCGGGAGACACCGGGAAACACCACCGGATGAAGCGCCTGAGCTGACTATCTGGAGCTTTTGCTGCTTCATCCTCGGCCTCCTGGGCATGGGTTTCCCACCAGCAAGAGCCGTTAGATGGCGCATCGCGCGGAGTCGTTCAATGCCCAATTCTGAGGCACCCACCTGATATTGGCAAAGGGCATAGTAGCAGCAGGCTTTGTAGGCATAGATGTTGGAATCATTTTCCTGGCAGGAAAATGAGATAGATCTCCCTCCCAACGCCCAACCAGCATGTGATGTTTGTCCCTCTCTTAGCATCCAACCGGCCTTTCTCATGGCATCATCATAGGCGTCAATCGCCTTTTTGTAGTCACCGTTGTGAAAATAGCAATAGGCCAACCACATCAGCAAATGTGGCCGGTCCTGCAGCTGTCACAAACACAACAAACGTGGCGGACACCGCCAGTGGCGGTCGGTGGCTTCCTCGCTCCTCCCGCGCCTTCCTTTCAAATTCAAGGAGTGTGATGGCACCTGTTGCAGCAATGAGAGAGAGACCAACATGGAGAAACTGCCATTTACATCCGTTTACATCCGTTTACAAGATACATTCCAGGTGTTTTCCGCAGGCTGTTCCCCACCCATTTCGGCCTACGTAGTCGCATGCCGTCAGGAAATCTTCCAGCAAAGGCCGCGCCGCCTGTGGAGCATAACTCTGACCCCAAACACTCACCAATGGAATGAACCAACATCTCGCACCAGTCACATTTATATACATGATATCCTTCCTTCATGGGCCCAGTCTCTGCCAGGTCAAACGCTGCCAGAAAAGGTATGTAAACATATCCAGTTCAGATTCGCCGAGCATCTCCGTGGCGCCAAATCCTCTGAGCAACCCCTGCAAGCCAACAACCCCTCCTGTGACAAGGAAAAAGAACTGTTGACCAAAAATCCAAGAACCTTCGCCCAGCGACCAGACCGATGCCCAGCGACCCCGGCCTCGGCCTTCTTTCCCACGGCGACCTTTGGAGCGACCGCCTCGGGAGCTCGGGAGATCGGGTTCGCTTCGGCAGCGGGACGAGCATCCTAAGGTAAGCAACTTGGCTTACCCATCCTAGAAATCTGCTTGGACCAAGTCATCCGAGCCAAGGAATCCATGCTAGACCTTCTCTCAAGCAAAGGTAAGCCACACTTCAAGCCGAGGTCTTGGTTCTTGATGGGCCGAGCGAAATTGGGACTGAGGTGATCCCCAAAAACGCACGGGACCGAAGGCATGTCCTTCATTGAGCCTTTCCCTCTTCCTCCCTCTGCTTTGTCAAAGCTCCCGCACCCGCTGCTTTTGCTTTTGCTTAGTTAAGGAGGTGCCCGGTCTGATCATGGCCTTTGACACACACGAAGAGATGGTAATCTGCCAACATGAGATTGCAGGACTGTTTTTCATGGTGTTTCTTTTCCATGTGGAATTCTTGGGAACTGATTCTGACAGGGTTGGACACAAAAGGCCTTTCTCGAAAGACTAGAAAGCTTTGAGTCAGCAGCATATTCGCCACTCTTCTACTCTTCTATACCAAAGTGTGATGATTTCACATCTCCAAGGTGTTGGTCAAATTGGAGGTGTTTTTTAAGTGTTTGGGGGAGCACCCCATGTCAGAGTCGGTCCAGATGTTCTTTTCGTGGTTTTTTGTCTCGGATTTGTGTCAGGCGCCGCAAGCCAAGCAGGTTCTAGAGTTCGTTCGATACAGACTTTGGATGACTTCACCATCACAATCCCTCGTGTCGATCCCTCGTGTCGGCTCGCTCGTTCTTCTCGCTCTCTCCCGCCTGCACGAGCTTTTTGGGCTATTGGGCTAACCAGTCATCTTGAACCCAGAAGCTTGCGGCAGCTGGCAATTCGTCCGGAAGTGCAACAAGTCAACGTCGGCACCTCGGGGGGAATGTTTCTGGGCCAGGTGAGGAAGTTGATGAACAGAATAGAGTCGAGTTGAATAGATCCACAAAATCCAAAACTATGGCTATAGTAAGTTGACTAATTCAAGAAATCTGAAGTTCTTTATATTCCAAGAAATTCTAAGTGCTGCCAACTTACTATACATACAGTAACCAAAATGAAATCAAAATCCCCTCAGTTTGGGATCTTCTTCATACTGAAACGCCCGCGATCACTAATGGTCAGTGGCAGTGGCAGGCCCCTGCTCCTTCTCTGTCACCAAGTCTGCAACTTCAGCACGGGCTGCTGTCAACTCTTCCTGGCAGAATTGGCATCAAGTCAATTCTCTGTTGTCGGACGCCACCGTGCTCGTGCTACCTTTGCAAACCCCAGCGGTCTGGAGCCGTACAAACGCGCCGTCCTGCAGTTGCTTCACCTGTGCGGAGCCCGAAGGAGATCACATGCGGTCGACCAAATGCAGTTGGCCTTTGCAGGTCCTTTGGACGGCGATCACATGTTCTCTAGCCTCTCCTACCTCTGGAAGGAGATCCAAAGCCTCTCGTTCCATATCCAGATCTTGAAACGCCCGCAGGTCTTTAGTTTCCTCGTCTTCATGTGATTTTCTATGATTTTATCCCTGTCTTTGAAGCATCGGCGCTCCTTTAATTGGCCCGACCTGACCCCCCCCCCTCTTCTCGACGAACCCTTCGGCGCGGAAGCGGCCGCCTCGGCCCCGCCAGCCCTTGCAGCCGCCAAGTCTTCCAAATGCTGCACACCCTGCGCCTGCGACTACGACCACGTGCTTTTCGCCGTCCCCACCAGAGTCGTCCGGAGATGGATCATCATGAGTCTATCACAGTTGGTCTCAAAGTGCCAAAACACCTGGAAATGGTGATTCACATTCGACTGTGATCTCTGCCCAAAGCACATCAAAGCAACAGTACGAGTACGCAGCATTGACCGTGATTTCTGCCGTGCAGAAATGATCAAGCTCGTGCTTGATCGAACTTGGTGCCTTTGTTCGAACGGCAAGTTGCTCAGAAGCACCAAGCTTTGTTGCTAGGGCCATGATACAATTTAGAGATTGGTATCTAGCAACAAGCAACAAAGTTAGGTGCATCTCTTGGCTTCTTGCTAAGCCCCCCTTTAGCTTGTTGTATCATCTTAGCCAATCGAAAAGTTGCTTTGAAATGTCTTGAATTCATCTGCTCCAGGCTGACTAATTAACTAATTAGTGATTATATAGTATAGTATAGAGCATGTCTACAAACGGTATCACAGGTTTGCGTCAAAGCTCTCTTGTGCGATCCGGTGACAGTGGCACAACCAAATACAGTACTTTAAGGGAACTCCAAACTCCCATGTTTTTCCTGTGTTTTTTTTAATGAAAACAAAAAAAACATATACTAAATATATCTAAATATAATGATGCACACCACCCACAAATATGTACACATGTGGTGCGTTCTAAGCAGGTGCTCTTTTTCATATCGTCAACAAACCACAAATTCTCGCTGTCTCCTGTCATACCACTCGCACTGCCTCAGCGGCAGCAAGCTTTTCTCCCAGCTCTTTCACCTCCGGAAGAGGTGGAGGAATAGCTTCATCGATGTTGATTGGCAAACCGCCCATCTAAGCACTTCCACGATGTGACCCTGATTTGAGTGAACCCCCCTCCTAAATCCTTAGTTTCCCCACTTCTGCTAGATGCATACCCAACCTCACCTCCTGTGCGCGCTCCTCCACTGAAGCCATGGCCACACTGCAAGCAGCCTGCGGGCCATGGAAATCCCTCCCTTTTGACTCGTGATGTAAGAGGTTAACTTGGAATGAGCCATTTTCATGGAAAGAAGCCCAGCGGCTTGCCAGCCGCCCAGGCTTTCGTGATGATTTTGCGAAACCGTTTGCGGTCTTTTCACGGCTATCGGTCGGTACAGGTACTATACATGATCATAGCCATAAGGCCTTGACCTCAACCCTTGACAGGCCCCCTCGGATGGTCGGTCTGTACGGGTACCGCCATCCGCATGTCAGGCCTTCAATGCCATCGAGTGTGAGCCACTTTCAAATCTAAGGCTCATCAACTCAAGCAAATCTACGATGCGAGCACCATCCAGATGTTTGGTTGCCAAATCTGCTGGATTTACACTGGTGCCGCACTTTCCCAACACAATATCACCATCTTGAATCCTCTGTTGCAGCCACAAGAAACATCGTGCAATATGTTTGGCCTTCCCATGACCACGTCTTCCAAGCATAGCCTTCGCGGCAGATGCATCAAACACCAACTCTGCTGAAAACTCACAACCCAAATCTTGCATTGTTGCAATACCACCCAACAGAACACTCCCAGCTTTGATGCCTGCGTAAAACTCTGATTCTCCTGAACTCAAGCTGATCACATGCTGGGTTGAAGAATAAAATTTCAACAAGTGACTCCCATGCATCAATGCACCACCTGAAGTACTCTTCCTTGTTGTGAGGCATCCACCATCATCTGAATCTGAAAACATTTTCAACTTGCTTTGCTCTGACTGTTCCGCATAGCTCCACACGAGCCTCCGGTGTCCTCCAAGATATCTTGCAAGCCGTTTCAAGCCGTTGTAATGTCCTTGAGTCGGATTCTGCATGCCTCTGGCCAACTCTTTGGTCGCATAGGCGATGTCTGGTCTGTCCAAACTCAAGTAATTTGCCCTCATTGTCAAGCTACGGTACCTTGTTATATCAGCACCTGTCAACAATGTTTCATCGGGATTGGAGCTGCTGACACCGGGCGACGAAACTGTCTTGGCTGTTGTCAAATTTAACTCATTCAAAATAATCTCAACATGTCGAGGGTCTGCTTCAAATGTTGTTGCTGTTGGACCGTAATGCACAAGCCTGTTCAAGATGGCCACATTCTGAACATCTGTCTCATCTGGTCCAAGCAAGCCCCCAAACTTCATCTCATATCTTGTGCCCATCTGTTTGTAAAGCCACATCAAATCATCTTCAAAACCCAACACTGTAATGTCATCACCGTGTATCGAAACCTTCAAGTCTCTTGTAGTGTTGACAAAAAGAACTGGGCTGCCAATGCCAGGGGCAAACCCGTTGGTTGTAAAGAAGTCTGTGATCTCAAGCTCCCAACATGCTGCGGCGTCACGACAACCGTACATGGCCTTGTTGAGCCGGCCACAAGTTCCTTCAAATTTCCCGCCTCCACTGGAAGTCTAACGTACACTCGTCTGAATATACGGGCTGTCCAATGTGCACGGCGAATGTCAACAAAAAGAACTTTCTTCCTCCTCCCCTTGCTATCAAGATCTGTGCAACTTCGCTGCAAACTCAAAAGCATCCTCACGGACTCTAAGGGAGGTGTGGCTGCGAACACCGCCTCGATATGCGACTGCCTGATCTCTTGGATGACCAAGCGAGAACGATACGACGGATGATCTTCGTCTCCTTTGTTGATGTCAATCCAGCGAGAAGAGATGGGCCCTTTTGAGTCATACTCATAAGCCTCAGCTATGGGTACAGTGTCCCATACACCATAGCGTACAGCATAGTCAATCTCCTCTGCCCTAGCCTTTCGCACTCCTGCTGCTGACAGTGGTTTGCCGGAAATCTCATCAACAAAACTAATCCAATCATCTGCAAGCTGTAAACCTGAGGGTGCCAGTTCAATGTCCAAATCGACTTCCTCATTCGTTGGACCAAAACTAAGTGCGCTCATTGGCTTCACCTTCTTCAACTGTTTTCTCAGCCCCTTCAAGATACTGCGCAAGAGAAGATTGGGGTACACTTCGCACTGCTTTGCCTTACCCCCCCAAAAGGGGAACATGTCTGTGCCATACCTTGCCTGGTTTGATGTGGTAGAAAACTGTTTCAACTTGTTTGCATTGTGATGGAATTCTGAATTCTAACGTTTCTTTTGTGGCTGAATGAACATCTCTCAAATCCTGCAACAAACGATGATTTGTCAAATCAAACGTCACCCTTCTCTGCACACGTTCCCAAGATGGGCCCCCCTTGGCCTGGGTACTGCCCCTTTGTTGCACTGAAGTTAACCTGCCTGAAAACACTCAATGCATCTGGATCATTTGAGCAGCGCTTGGAAAGTTCCTGTGCAATGCATTCACTGTTGGTGAGGTAACCTGTACTCTTCTTGGCCAAACCCTCACCATGCTCATCCGACACACGCATGTCTTGCTCACACATGTCGCCAACAACATGGAACACTCCTTCCTTATCTTTCAAGCGTTCAATCGATGGCGACTTCCAGGATGTAGCAAATGCTGGATGTTCGTGCAAGAAAAATTTGTTCCTCTTCATCTGGGCTTCATATTGTTCAACACAAAACTCAAGATGGTTCTCTGCTTCTGTCATTGCTTTGTCCCACACCTTCTGGTCAATTCTATGTTGATTGAGGTATTGAAGCAAGCTGTACATGCGACATGGGGGACATCCCAACAACAAATCTGGACTCATACTCTCGATTAATTTTGATGCACTGTCCTTCCGCTCTTTCACATTAAAATCCCATGCAACCCCTTGGTCATCACAGGTTGTCAAGTCCAATGCGAGACCTTGTCCGAGCGCCCTCCTCTGTGCATAGTCTGTCAACCTCGGCGGAGAGAAAAGCTCGACCAACACTGGACTGCTGAAGCTGTAGGCCGCCTTCACGGTCAAAGCTCCTGTCTGCAAGAGGATCCTTCGAGCCTCCACTTCCTCGTCAAGCATGAGCTCTGCTGTCTCATCAAGACTGACCTAAGGTAGCCATCAATGTGGAAGGTTGTCACAAACCCATCTACCGGTTCTACATTTTCACGGTTGCAAACCGTTGATTTTGACCTTCAAAAAGAATTTCTCCCACTAACTCAAAAAATCACACTACAACTCAATGAAAAAAAACAACCTACAAAGAAAACCGCAGGCCAAGTGCCAACACCTATTGCAAACGCAGGGAAACTGTGTCTCAGAAAAGATACAAAACCCAAAAACCTTAAAGAAAACAAGAGTGAGCTCTAGGAGCCTCGTCATCAGTTTTGGGCGTGCAAGAACTATGTATCAAAAGGGGTGGGAAACCTGAAACAAAACTTTCATACAACCCCAACATTGAACTGCTCATTGCATTGCAGAACATTCCACCGTTGCCACCCACAAGCAATTCTGCAATGGCTTTACGCATTTTTTTCCTGCTCTTGCCAACAGTTGGCTGTTGGGCCCAGAAGCCAAAGCCCAAGAAAGTGTCCAAGCTATTCGGCTGTGTGCCAGCAAAGCCATGCCAATGTGCTCTATACGATTATTTTAAAATTTGTATTTATCACAACTGAATCTTGCAAGAACATGAAACATGCCAGTGCCACTAGCTAAGTCGGCGCACAGGCTGGACGTTGTCTCAAAATTTGTGCACACCAGGGCGCAAAACGGCCACCAGACTCTCTCTAACTCGCAAAACCTAAATTTTTGTACAATCACCAAACAGGCACTAGAGCGGCAGGGCCACCAGCCACCAGCAGTGGCATTTAGAACCCCCCCAAACAGTGCAAGCAGCGCTTGTACTTTGTCGTCTGCCTCCCAAGTGTGTTTTTCAAGTGTCGACAGTGGGCAACATGGTAGCATTTGCCACTGGCACTTACTAACACTTCTTCTGGTGGCGCTTGGGCAATCTTTGCCGGCTCCACCTCAAAGGTCAGTAAGTCGGTTTGGCATGCTTTACTATGCTTTATCACTCTGCTTGCCCGATGGCTGCAAAGAGAAGCCACCAGCTCTCTTGCCAGCAATGTGGCCAGACACACTGCCACAAGCAGGGTCTCAAAGGCTTCCATGAAAAGGGGCACGGAAACCTGGCAGGAGCTGCGCAAGAACAAGTTGAACAAGATGAAAATTTGACAAGCACCACTTGGTACCTGAGGCCTGCGTGGATTTGAATAAAGACCCTGGCCTTGTTCACTCTTCCCTCCTTGGCACTCAGTGTCCATGCACCCTGAGAGCCCAAAAGCTTCAATAATTGAAAGCATGCAACCCAAGAACAGCACTTGTGGGAGATTTCAATTGTCAACTCCAAGATCGAAATTGCCACAGCAATCCAAAAGCCTTGATGCGTCATGCTGCATGGCCCATCCTTTTTGTGATGAATCTCTCACCCACAATTAGCTGAGCCCTATACAGAGATACAAAACAAGATACCTAGGATTCATTGGTCTTGGGTGAGAAAACTAAACCTTTACTTTTTTTGTCGACTTCGGTTGGAAAACAAAAGCAGGCGCAGGCCGTAGCAGATTAAGCCTGTGTGTCAGCATGTTCTTTTGGCACGATGGACTCTTGTCATTGCGGTCTGGAACTATTTGTTGGCATATTGAGTGTCCCAAGGTTCTACCCCAGTTGCACTGCACGGTCCAAAGTTGGAAAACAACTGGAAGACAAAGTATATATATGTATATCGATGGTGGATTTTTTGCCTGAAAGAGTTTTCCAACATGTTGTCTAGGTAGGCTATTGAATATGTCACTTCTGGCTTGCAGTGCACCCCCTCCCTGGGTTCTCAATTCTCAACCTAGGAAAAAAAGTCTTGTGACTTTTGGAGACCATGTACACTTGCAGTCATTCTCCTGGCTGCCAGACGTAGTAAGCTCCCAAGTTTTTTTCTTTCCAAACGGCAGCAACACTGGGCACCCAAACTTAAACCTGGACCTGGGCTTCAGCTGAGTCGGCCAATGGCTTGGACTCTGGCTGTCCCGTGGTCTTGGCCTAAGCAAGGGCAGGCCCAATGCAAAAGTTAAGGTTTGGAAAGAGCTTTGCAAAACTTTGGCGAACAAACTGCAGTCACAGGTCATAGTGGCCGCGTTGCAACCACTCAAGCAGCATCACCTCCAACAGGCTCAGGGGCAGGCGCAGTGCCAGACTTCTTGGCCTTCCTTGTTGGGGGCAGGTGCGGCAGGTCAATGGGGCCACTGGCAGCATTTGCCAACAAATCTTCGATGAAGGTCACAAGCTTGCCAGTCTTCAGAGGTCCCAGGCTGGCGTTGTCTTTGACCTGCTTCGCACACAGGGGCGCGGTTCTGCAAGCATGCCCATCCAACAGCATGTGGCAGCGTGCTCCATGGCAATCTTCTCCCAGGGACACAGAAAGGAAACAATGGTCTCCTGGGATGACCACCCCCTTTCCAGGTTGGAGAGACACACTCCACGTCTTGGTGGCCAGAAAAGACTCCCACGTGGTTGCAGTAAGCCAGGCTCGCTTGTCTGCCAACTCATCTCCAGGGACCTTGCTCAAAGGCATGCCAACAAGAAGACACTTGCCTTCAAACAAAAGCCTGGCATCTGGCAAGCCAAAGTCAGTATGCAGGTGGGCCTGGCAAGCTTCTTGAGACTGCTGAAAAAACTGGGGGACAAACAAATCCCTGATCGCATTGTCAGCTGTCTGGGCCCAAACAAGGGCAGTGTCGCCAACAAGCTTCGTCCACACAGTGCCGATCTTCTTGGACACGACAGCTTTGGTGATCTGGGCACTCACAAAGCAATTCCCACCCATTTTCTTCACTTGCTCAGACACCCAGACTTTCTGGAACTTGTAGTATTCGTTTTCCATCATGCAGTCACAGTAGGATCTGGTTTGCCCCTCACTGAACACCACCGGCAAAGCCTCCTGTGGAGGGCTTACTGCCAGCAGGTCCTTGTCAAGGCTCCAAGCAACCCCAGTGTCTGCGTGAAGCTCGGGCTTGTTCATGGCGGCATCTACGGCTTGCTTGCACAGCAGCAAAGTGTTCCATGAGGAGGAGCCACTGAGCTTTGTAGAAGACATAGCTGAACTTTGAGCCTTTGTGGCAGCCTTGTCTTTCTTTTTGCTTTGAGCTTTGCATTTGGCCAAGAAAGACTTCCAGTTCTTGATGAGGTCTTTGTATTCCTTCAGTGGCTGGCACCCATGGAGCCATTCTTTCAAATCCTTTGCCACTTGCACAGCAGCATCGTGGATCTGCTGGGCATTGTTTGCAGCTGTTCCTCTGGCCAAAGCTTGTTGCCAAGACCCTTTCTGTTTGTCAATGTCTTGCACAATTTTGGGTAGACAAGCTTCGCACTGCGCTTCCCAGTCTTTGGCTTCTTCTCGCATGACATCGGTCTCAAGCTGCGTCGATTCCTCTGCAGCTGAGCACTGCATGGCTTTCTGCCGGGACATGCAATCGTTCATGGCCTGGCAAGCTCGCTCCATGGCAGCTTGCATACCCATGGACTCAACAGCCACGCTCTTGACAACATATTCGGTAGGTTTCTTCTCGCTCTTTTTGTTTGCAGCTGTGATCTCGAGGCTTTCCATCCACTGGGCTTCCAATTCGGCTTCTGCAGCCTTAGCCTTTTTGATGTCTTGGGCTACATTCAGCAAGGTGCTTGGAGCCTCCAGAGTCCCTTCCATGAAAGCCTCTCGGTCAGCTTGCAAGCGCCACTGGGCTCTCTGTGTCCTCGATTCCACTTCATTCTTGAAGTCGGGCAAATCAGCTTCTTCAGTCAAATCAGCTCGTTGGCGAACGCCATGCGTCAAGGCATGTTCCTGGCCTGACAGGACCTCCACTCCATGGAAAGAAGCCAGCAAGGTTTGCCCTCGCTTTGTAAGTGTTCGGGCACCAGGTTTGTTGCACTCAGCTTTGAATGCGGCTTCTGCCTCGGCCAAGGTGTCGAACTTCTTCAAGCTGAGTTGACGGGCACACCAGAGCTCAGATGTCTCGAAGACATCCTTGTCCTGGTCGGTGAGCTTTGTCGCAGAGGTTTCCTCGACATACCCCACAGCTGTACCAAAAGTACGTTTGTGTGAGCGCTCCTGAGTCCTCCGTTCTTCTTTTTTCTTGCAGTACCATGAAGCCTTCTCAGTGGGGGACATCGCACCCAAAGCTTTTTTCGTTTCTTCGGCTTTCTGGCGTCTCTCCTTTTGTGACTCAGCTTCAACTTCTGTGTCATCTTTAGGCTTCTTCAAGCATCGGCTGAGCCACTTGTCAGTGGACACGCACTCCAAGCAATTCCTGCGCAAAGCATTGCGTCCATTTGGCAAACTCTGGCTCAGGGTTGTGGGTTCACCACACTTTTGGCACTGGAGGCCAACCTCTGGCGCAGCAGGTTTGTTTGCCTCGCCTGCCTCAGGCTTGGAAAACTTTGGAGCCATGGCACTGACTGGCACCCCACTGTCAAGACTAACTACTCAGCTGGTGTGGCAAAAGCTCGCTCTCACACACACAGGACTCACAGGACTAGTGGTGGCAAATCTCAAATGACAAAAACACGCTCGCCCTTTGACTTTGTGTGTGTGCGTGAGACAAGGATCGTCCAAGTGTCCAGGTGATGACAAATCTGACATCAGACTACTACTGTTTCTGATTTGAAAGTTCTTCTAGAAGAGCTCTCATTTCAACAATGCTGCTGTTGAAAAAAACAAAGCAAAAAATACCAAAGTTGTTTTGCTCGCATGTGATTGTCTGTCAAGTCTGCTAGAGGCCAGCCTCATGTAAATTACTACACAACACTAATTAAAGAATCACTGGCCTTTTCGACGAAAGGAAATGCTAACGGCTGCCCACTGGGTCTCTTGCTCAACCCTGTCCCAGCCTCGAATTAAGAAACGCTAGCGCCACCAAAGAAAAGACTACCCTCAACACTTCACCCTCTTTCGTTTCAATCCCTGGACATTCTTGTCAAAGAACTTTTGCAGAGTTGGGCACGGCGAAGGGCCACTGCTGGGCACAAGCTCTCCCAGCTCACGGTGGGACAGCTTGGCGACGGAGCCCCTGGTGACAACCCCTGCACGCGCTGCTGCCTCCACCAACGGAGCCATGTGGCAAGCAACATGCACCACATTAAAGGCATTACCAGAAGCTTTCACAGCTCCAGTGTCTGTCTTGAAGTACTTCGGGAGGGAAGAGCTGTGGCCTTGCAGCTTGAATCTTTCTGCGATGGACAAGTACCTGTGAAGCATCTGCTGGTCCCAAGGCAGATCCAAATCCTTCAGGCTGACCAAGAAAACTTTGGGGCCTCCAGTCCTCAAAGAAGGAATGGCATCAAAGGTGGCAGCACCACCATACTGCCTAAGCGGGTTTCTGTCCAGTTCCACACACATAACGGCTCCACAGTTGCCCTGCGCCATTGCTTCTTTGGCCAGAGCCTTGTAAAGAGCAAGGTTTCCTCGCATGGTACTGGTCAACTTTGCTGGGTCAAAATTAGGCAGCCCACTCTCCAAGAAATCCAGCAAGGGTGGTCTCTGACTCGAAAGATCAGACAGCTGCGCAGGCAACGGAAGTGGGCCATCAGGGTCTGCCAAACAGTCTCGCCTCAGCCCTCGTATCCACAACCTAGGCCGCTGGTGTGGAATGAGGCGCTTAAGATCATGCTCGATCACTTCAATCTTCATGAAGGGACAGCTGCAAACCAAGTGATTGAGCAACTTCCAGAAGTATGAATGTGTGGCCAGCGCTGTCGAGTTTTCCAAAATGAAGCAAAACAACTGCCCTCGCCAACACTGCTCGATGAGCCAGGCAATCACAATCTCCAAGATCTCTGACCTAGGGTCATCAAATCCTCCTCCCTTGCCATTCAAAGCATAAGGCTGGCAAGGAGGGCCGCTGACAAAAATCTCACAGTCAGGCAGATTGCTTTGGGGCACCTTGCTGATATCCCCTTCACGGGGTCCACAAGATACAGCCTCAAGCCCAGCCACACCTGCCTTCTGCAGAGACTTGTAGAAGGAACCAATCTCTTGGTCAAAGTCGTGGGCGCAAAAGAACTCATATGGAACCCCGGAGGATTCCACCCAAGCTCGAATGCCACCAATGCCGCAGCACGGTTCGGCAACCTTGGGGGGATCGTCCAAGATAACGCCACACTCGTCCAAGTTTGAAAAGGAGAGTGTCTGCTGGTGAAGCAGGGCTGTCTTCGGCCATGGCAGCGCAGTAAAGAGACGTATGTTCCACACGACTCGTGAAAAAATATACAGTGGCAGTGGCAGTTCGAAAGGTTAAGCTATTGCTGTGCTCCTTTGACTTGAGACTTAGCTATATGCGTGAAGACATACTTCCTTTCCCCTACAATTTGCAAGACCAAAGATGACCTTTCAAAGAAAATCTTGCCATGACTGTTTGCCGGTGCCCCCTGAGCTATGGTCCAAAAGATCACCCAGATACAGATCATGTTTGTGAAAGCTTCTTCGAAAACTACTTGGATCGCCTTGTCGATCCCTTTTGCACCAACTCTTGGAAGACATCCAGGAAACCAAGACCCTAGCAGCCAAACAACATCACACGTTCAAACATTAGATTGCCAAACCTGGGTTGGACACTGGACACAAATCCTGAGACCCAAAACGACTAAGAAAAAGCTCGGAAGACACTGCCAAGACAGCAACAAGAAAGGCAGCAGCAACAGAGAGGCAAGATACTGAGCAAGACATGGGAGAGACATGGGAGAGACATGGGCGAGACATGGGAGAGACATGGGCGAGACATGGGCGAGACATGGGCGAGACATGGGCGAG